TAGGCTACCACAACAGAGAACATAGAGACTAGGCTACCACAACAGAGAACATAGAAAATAGGCTACCACAACAGGGAACATAGAGACTAGGCTACCACAACAGAGAACATAGAGACTACGCTACCACAACAGGGAACATAGAGACTAGGCTACCACAACAGAGAACATAGAGACTAGGCTACCACAACAGAGAACATAGAAAATAGGCTACCACAACAGAGAACATAGAGACTAGGCTACCACAACAGAGAACATAGAAAATAGGCTACCACAACAGAGAACATAGAAAATAGGCTACCACAACAGAGAACATAGAGACTAGGCTACCACAACAGAGAACATAGAGACTAGGCTACCACAACAGGGAACATAGAGACTAGGCTACCACAACAGAGAACATAGAAAATAGGCTACCACAACAGGGAACATAGAGACTAGGCTACCACAACAGAGAACATAGAGACTATGCTACCACAACAGGGAACATAGAGACTAGGCTACCACAACAGAGAACATAGAGACTAGGCTACCACAACAGAGAACATAGAAAATAGGCTACCACAACAGGGAACATAGAGACTAGGCTACCACAACAGAGAACATAGAAAATAGGCTACCACAACAGAGAACATAGAAAATAGGCTACCACAACAGAGAACATAGAGACTAGGCTACCACAACAGGGAACATAGAGACTAGGCTACCACAACAGAGAACATAGAGACTAGGCTACCACAACAGGGAACATAGAGACTAGGCTACCACAACAGAGAACATAGAGACTAGGCTACCACAACAGAGAACATAGAAAATAGGCTACCACAACAGGGAACATAGAGACTAGGCTACCACAACAGAGAACATAGAGACTACGCTACCACAACAGGGAACATAGAGACTAGGCTACCACAACAGAGAACATATAGACTAGGCTACCACAACAGAGAACATAGAAAATAGGCTACCACAACAGGGAACATAGAGACTAGGCTACCACAACAGAGAACATAGAAAATAGGCTACCACAACAGAGAACATAGAAAATAGGCTACCACAACAGAGAACATAGAGACTAGGCTACCACAACAGAGAACATAGAGACTAGGCTACCACAACAGGGAACATAGAGACTAGGCTACCACAACAGAGAACATAGAGACTAGGCTACCACAACAGGGAACATAGAGACTAGGCTACCACAACAGAGAACATAGAGACTAGGCTTCCACAACAGAGAACATAGAGACTAGGCTACCACAACATAGAACATAGAGACTAGGCTACCACAACAGAGAACATAGAAAATAGGCTACCACAACAGAGAACATAGAAAATAGGCTACCACAACAGAGAACAAAGAAAATAGGCTACCACAACAGAGAACATAGAAAATAGGCTACCACAACAGAGAACATAGAGACTAGGCTACCACAACAGAGAACATAGAGACTAGGCTACCACAACAGAGAACATAGAGACTAGGCTACCACAACAGAGAACATAGAGACTAGGCTACCACAACAGAGAACATAGATACTAGGCTACCACAACAGAGAACATAAATACTAGGCTACCACAACAGGGAACATAAATACTAGGCTACCACAACAGAGAACATAGAGACTAGGCTACCACAACAGAGAACATAGAGACTAGGCTACCACAACAGAGAACATAGAGACTAGGCTACCACAACAGAGAACATAGAGACTAGGCTACCACAACAGAGAACATAGAGACTAGGCTACCACAACAGAGAACATAGAGACTAGGCTACCACAACAGAGAACATAGAGACTAGGCTACCACAACAGAGAACAGAGACTAGGCTACCAGAGAACATAGAGACTAGGCTACCACAACAGAGAACATAGAGACTAGGCAGCACACAGAAGGGGTGGGTGTTATGTCTTCCTATTCAACTTCCGGGATAGTTCTTTATTCTCCCAACCTTTCCTTCCCCGCCCATGTTTTGTAACAAGCCAGCAAACATTTACGTGCCAGTTTATCCCGGACATCTGGTACACTACTGCACCCCACAAATCTGACTGAGGAGTTAAGTATGGGTTACATGTTTTTAATTCAAAAGTAAAGCCCAATGAGAACGTTTTATTCTGACAAGCTTTTATTTCAGTTTAATTATTTTTTCTCTTACTCCAAGCCGACTTAAATTAATTTTTTTCAAGTACCAGAAACGTTAAGATTAGTGTCGATGAAAGTAATTGATTAATGGCAAGAAATAGTACCGCCTAACTCAAAATGTACAGGCCCCGGCTGTTATCCACTTGAATAAGAATGGATAAATTCTGGAGGTGAGAACAGTAGTGGGTGGTGGGGAGGGGATGCGCGTTGACTTCCTGCCCTTTGCGGCTGGCACCTTTAAATCAATCCAGGCTCTCTAAATATCAAAAGGAAGATGGCAACCACATGCTTCAATAAGGGCAATGCCAATTCTAGTCCCAGGAAACTAGAAAAAAGTAGATTGGGTAGCGGTAGATATCTTGTAGTAGAAATACTAAGAACGGATAGCTTTGATGCGGGGACGTAATCTAAACATGGCACAAAGCACAGATTTCCGCACTACCTTCGTCTGCCTGCAAGAATATCTCAGTGAAACCAGTTGCAAGGTGTGTTTTTAGGACTCTTATCGTGGCTACACTGACTTTACCTTCCGTGTACGAACACACTACAATAAGTGGACTCAGGCCTTTGTCTAGTTGTTCCCCTGCCCATATCTTTTACACAATTCCTTACCATTCGTTATATGTGGATGTGTGTTCTCGAGGTAAAGCTACACTTTAGGGTTAAAGAAAATTAGAGGTTCACTTTAGGCGCAGCACTAAAGTATAGGCCAGGGGTGCAGATCTTGGAGTGGACGAAAGAACCTTTCAACGGGTGAAAGGTTGCAGTAATAAAAGATACGTCTTGCTAGTTTCCGGTTTCCCTTCGTTGTTTCACCCCGCGCAGCCGGCCTTCCTGGTTCGTTTTTAAAATCTGAACTTTATATTATCCCACCTTGTACCGAACAATCACGGAAAAGAAACTTCATTATACAGCTAGTTTACAGGCCTGTTCAGATACGTCTAGATTTTAAATTTTTCTTGTCTCGTGACAGCAGTTTTTTTTTTTAAATTTTCAATTCACATTATATACACGAGTCTACCTATAGCACAACTGTTGTAGATTAGTCGAGCTCTTCTAAGGGGTAATAGTTATCAAGCTGATCTAAAGGTAATACTTATCAAGCTGATCTAAAGGTAATAGTTATCAAGCTGATCTAAAGGTAATACTTATCAAGCTGATCTAAAGGTAATAGTTATCAAGCTGATCTAAATGTAATACTTATCAAGCTGATCTAAAGGTAATAGTTATCTAGCTGATCTAAAGGTAATAGTTATCAAGCTGATCTAAAGGTAATAGTTATCAAGTGAATCTAAAGGTAATAGTTATCAAGCTGATCTAAAGGTAATACTTATCAAGCTGATCTAAAGGTAATAGTTATCAAGCTGATCTAAAGGTAATAGTTATCAAGCTGATCTAAAGGTAATAGTTATCAAGCTGATCTAAAGGTAATAGTTATAAAGCTGATCTAAAGGTAATAGTTATTGAGTGATTCGGACAGAGAGCATTCGTTTGGCAACCGGTTCTAAACTACGTTCCAAAAAAAAAGAGTAGGGGTCAAGTCAACTTGTAGGGTTGCAGCGTTGATCGATTGGTCTATCCTCTTGATATGGGCGGTAGAGCACAAATTGCTGGGTCCAATCAAAGCTATTGAGATACTTGTTGGTATCTTTAGCCTTCGTCTGGATGCCTGGATCGACAAAACCGCTATGCGATAGAATTATTTTTTTTAGTGACGAGCGGTTTTGGCTTAGAGGTAGGCATAAGGTTGCCATGCTATAAATTGTCATTTTAGAAGAACCTCACTCAGATTGTAAAAAAATTATTTTCAGACAAATGCTGACTGGATCTATATTTTAAGTACTCCATCAGTATCTTACTGGGACCTAGTATACAGTGGGTAATCTGTATAAATTAGGAGCCCTAAGTACCTAAGGGAATATGCATACATTAGTAGCCTCATGTACTAAGGGTAATCTGTATAAATAAGGAGCCCGATGTACTGAAGGGAATCTGTATAAATTAGGAGCCCGATGTACTGAAGGGAATCTGTATAAATTAGGAGCCCCGTGTACTGAAGGGAATCTGTATAAATTAAGAGCCCTGTGTACTGAAGGGAATCTGTATAAATAAGGAGCCCGTGTACTAAAGGGAATCTGTATAAATAAGGAGCCCCGTGTACTAAAGGGAATCTGTATAAATAAGGAGCCCCGTGTACTGAAGGGAATCTGTATAAATTAGGAGCCACGTGTTCTGAAGGGAATCTGTATAAATTAGGAGCCCCGTGTACTGAAGGGAATCTGTATAAATTAGGAGCCCCGTGTTCTGAAGTTACAGACAAAACGGAGGCCAACAAATGTTCTCAAAAATATTCGTCCTTTTCTCTTATGTTGGCGCAAAAAATCTAGACTTCGTTTGCATGAGTGTGTAAAATCAGATCAAAGTTCATTATGAATTAAAATTTGTTTTTTTTTTAAATTTATATTGAACCACTCATTGATTTTCGTGAGATGTAAATTGTAAAGTAGATTTGATTACTCTGGAGTTGAGTCATCCACGCATCACGTTTAAAAACTAAAGAAATCTATTACCTCCCTCCCCCTAATCTTACTTTCTCAAAATCGTTCCTAAGTTTTCGTAGATTATTTATCGCTTGTATTCCTGCCAGACGCTTAGCGTTTTAAAGTACTCTCAACAAAAATTTATTTACTTTCGATTAATTAAGAACACAACTGACACTTCAAATTCTTAAGCTTTGAAGTCACCTCTTGTGAAACAGGTTCCATCGAAACTTTTCCTGGTATAAAAGCTGTTTATACAATGCAATGTAACACTTCTCCACAACAAAGTACCTAATTTGTGTATATATTTCCCCTCAGAGCTTCGAGTGCGAAATCTGGTGTCGATAATGTTGGTAAAATTTAACGTTGCTGTAGTGGACCCTAAGCCCAGACAACTTCAGCTGTCACTTCTGAATGTCAGCTCCACACTGCCGTCATGCATACCTCCTCTACACAATCCCGAACATCAGCACTATCGGAAGATCTACACTCCCCCAAATGATGCTCGGAAAAGATCAGATCTGCACCCTGTAATTGCCGTCTTTGCTAATTCAACGTTTGTGCTGGAGGCAGCCGTTGCTACAGGAAGGAATTTGGTGTTTGATATTAGCATTTGGAATGGGAACTTGAAGGAAGTGTTTCAGCATGTGCCACACAAGGGAAAGGACAAATGCAGTACTCCAATGGAGTGTAAAAGCGTAACTCAGGTATGTAAATGTGTAGAGAGTGGGGATGGTGCACATATATCACACAAGGAGGTGTGGGGGAGGGTTTATCATTCTGTTAGATTGTGTTGTTGGAGGTTGTGTTAAACAGTGTGAACTGTTCCTTTCTGAATTTATAAATACATTAAATCAGTTTAATAGGAAACTATGTAGCAAAACACAGCTCTTCAAACGTTCTATTTATGTATTATCTTCATCCTCTTTTCTCGTTCGTGCTTAAGACACATGGGGCAGACGAAGTGGAGTTCATCTGCTTCATATGACCTCGGGATATGAAAAAATAGTGGGGGCAGCACTATGCACAGCCGCCTTTTTTTTTTTTTTTTTACACATTGAGAGTTAGGTACCCATTAGAGCTGGGTGGACATGCTACTGACTTGAACACAGATTCGAACTCGAGACTTTCGGTTTAGCAGTCTAGCTCTCTACCGCATGACTCGTTCGCCCCCCTCCCCTCCCCTCCCCTCCCCCGTAGAGATGCCTGGAAGAAACTCTAGTATCCTGTGTGTAAAAAGTTAAGACAACAGTCCTGTGTAAAAAAAAATCAGTAAATGCATCAATCGTGTAAATAAAGCACTGAATGTGTACCTACACTAGGTCATCCTGCATAAGCAACGTTATGAGTTGTAACGATTTTTACTCCCCTCCCCTCAGCGTCAGGCATCGTCACATATAGCCAGGACCCAACACCTAAAAAGACGTCACACCTCAGCCTACTACCCCTATCACAATTATACTTTTTTAAAAAAAGCTATTTTTCCCACGTTTTCTTTAACTTGCTTTCTCTGTTTGTCTTTCCAATCAAATCTTGCGATCGAAATTTCTGGCACTTCCCAGTTAGCTAGCGCGCTGAAATTTTCAGGGAAGCTTTCTTTTGGATGACCATAGAATATTCAATTGTTATTATTACTAAATTGATCAATGGAAACATTTTATTGAGCATTTTAGACCGCTATATAATCTATATATATAATTCTCCTCTGCGAGCCACTAGAAAAAAAACGAGCGACGCGTAGCTCGCCTCTCTCTTGCCGCGCGCAGTGAAGCGAACGATCCCACGTCGCGACAGGCTTAGGGGCAGATAATTTAGTTTGAACCGACTTTAAACTTACAGGAGGTAACTATTACCACTGGTGGCCAGTTTGGGGGAGACGATATGGTCGAGTGGTTGGGCACACGATTGCTATCCCACTCGACACGGGTTCAAATCTATGTGTTCTAGTCAGTAACCAGCCCTCGTCCTAACCGCTATCAACTAACCTCTGACAATCATTCACTTGCGATTGAGACCGAAGAAGAAAGGGTCTCTCGTTTTTTACGAGTTGTCTTTTTACGAGTTGTCTTCGTTTACCCAAAAAAAAGTGAAAAGATAAAATCGATAGCAAGATTTCAATGCAAACAAACAGACAAAGACTAAAAAGTAGAAAATAATAATCATTAAAAAAGTTTTAAAAAACCCACGTTTTCTGATTGAACTAAAAAGTAGAAAATAAATACTATACATCACAATAATGCAAGCGATCACTCTACTATAAGCGATGAAAAACGTGGGGCGCCGTGATTTTCTTACAGTTTCTAATACTGTTGACTCTCTACAAGCTCCCTAATAAAAGTAAATAGTATTATCTAATCAATAGTAATATAACTTTTACTTCGGCGCCCCACGTTTTTCATCGCTTATAGTAGAGTGATCGCTTGCATTATTGTGATGTATAGTATTTATTTTCTACTTTTTAGTTCAATCAGAAAACGTGGGTTTTTTAAAACTTTTTTAATGATTATTATTATCTAAAATAATTACAGAGCTCGTCCAATGTTGAGTGGCCTATTTAAATTTAAAATATTTTCATTGAAGGAAAAAAAAATAATACCTACATGGAGCAACGGCTCAAATTCTAACTTTAATTGCAAAAGCGTGTCGTCACACTTTCTGAAACCCCCTCCCTCGCCTCCAGAGTATGACGTCACAATAGCACCTTTTGGGTAAGCCAGCGATGAAGTAAGCAACTCGAGGAGACCTTGCGACGTATCTTATAAATGCTAATATTAATTATTAAAATACACCCAACGAGTCTGTGTGTGATACCAACTAGTGTATATGTACGATGTCAGCTAGTGTGTATGTACGATGTCAGCTAGTGTGTATGTACGATGTCAGCTAGTGTGTATGTACGATGTCAGCTAGTGTGTATGTACGATGTCAGCTAGTGTGTATGTACGATGTCAGCTAGTGTGTATGTACGATGCCAGCTAGTGTGTATGTACGATGTCAGCTAGTGTGTATGTACGATGCCAGCTAGTGTGTATGTACGATGCCAGCTAGTGTGTATGTACGATGTCAGCTAGTGTGTATGTACGATACCAGCTAGTGTGTATGTACGATGTCAGCTAGTGTGTATGTACGATACCAGCTAGTGTGTATGTACGATGTCAGCTAGTGTGTATGTACGATGTCAGCTAGTGTGTATGTACGATGTCAGCTAGTGTGTATGTACGATGTCAGCTAGTGTGTATGTACGATGTCAGCTAGTGTGTATGTACGATGTCAGCTAGTGTGTATGTACGATATCAGCTAGTGGGTGTGCATTATGCCAGCTTAAGCAGGATGACCCAGTGTAGGTACACATTCAGTGCTTTATTTACTCGATATATCAGTTACTGTGTGTGATTTATACCAGCTAGTGTGTATGTGTTACCACCCAGTATGTGTGTGATACCAGCTAGTGTGTGTGTGTGTGATGCTAGCTAGTGTGTGTATGCGTGATGCTAGCTAGTGTGTGTATGCATGATGCTAGCTAGTGTGTGTGTGTGTGTGTGTGATGCCAGCTAGTGTGTGTGTGATACCAGCTAGTGTGTGTATGCGTGATGCCAGCTAGTGTGTGTGTGTGATACCAGCTAGTGTGTGTGTGTGTGTGTGATACCAGCTAGTGTGTGTGTGTGATGCCAGCTAGTGTGTGTGTGTGTGATACCAGCTAGTGTGTGTGTGATACCCGCTAGTGTGTGTGTGATCCCAGCTAGTATGTGTGTGTGTGTGTGATACCAGCTAGTGTGTGTGTGATCCCAGCTAGTGGGTGTGTGTGTGATACCAGCTAGTGTGTGTGTGTGATGCCAGATAGTGTGTGTGTGATACCAGCTAGTGTGTGTGTGATACCAGCTAGTGTGTGTGTGTGATCCCAGCTAGTGTGTGTGTGTGTGATACCAGCTAGTGTGTGTGTGATGCCAGCTAGTGTGTGTATGCGTGATACTAGCTAGTGTGTGTGTGTGATGCCAGCTAGTGTGTGTGTGATACCAGCTAGTGTGTGTGTGATACCAGCTAGTGTGTGTGTGATACCAGCTAGTGTGTGTGTGTGTGTGTGTGATGCCAGCTAGTGTGTGTGTGTGTGATACCAGCTAGTGTGTGTGTGTGTGATGCCAGCTAGTGTGTGTGTGTGATACCAGCTAGTGTGTGTTTGTGTGTGATACCAGCTAGTGTGTGTATGCGTGATGCCAGCTAGTGTGTGTATGCGTGATACTAGCTCGTGTGTGTGTGTGTGATGCCAGCTAGTGTGTGTGTGTGTGTGATACCAGCTAGTGTGTGTATGTGTGATACCAGCTAGTGTGTATGTATGCGTGATACCAGCTAGTGTGTGTATGCGTGATACCAGCTAGTGTGTGTGTGTGTGATACCAGCTAGTGTGTGTGTGTGATACCAGCTAGTGTTTGTGTGTGTGATACCAGCTAGTGTGTGTGTGATACCAGCTAGTGTGTGTGATACCAGCTAGTGTGTGTATGCGTGATGCCAGCTAGTGTGTGTGTGTGTGTTTGTGTGTGTGATACTAGCTAGTGTGTGTGTGTGTGATGCCAGCTTGTGTGTTTGTGTGATACCGGCTGTGTGTGTGTATGCGTGATGCTAGCTAGTGTGTGTGTGATCCCAGCTAGTGCGTGTGTGTGATACCGGCTGTGTGTGTGTATGCGTGATGCTAGCTAGTGTGTGTGTATGTGTGATACCAGCTAGTGAGTGTGTAATACCAGCTAGTGTGTGTATTTGTGATGCCAGCTAGTGTGTGTGTGATACTAGCTAGAGTGTGTGTGTGCGTGATACCAGCTAGTGTGTGTGTAATGCCAGCTAGTGTGTGTATTTGTGATGCCAGCTAGTGTGTGTGTGATACCAGCTAGTGTGTGTATGCGTGATGCCAGCTAGTGTGTGTGATACCAGCTAGTGTGTGTATTTGTGATGCCAGCTAGTGTGTGTGTGTGATACCAGCTAGTGTGTGTGTGCGTGATATCAGCTAGTGTGTGTGATGCCAGCTAGTGTATGTGATACCAGCTAGTGTGTGTGTGTGTGTGTGTGTGATACCAGATAGTGTGTGTGTGATACCAGCTAGTGTGTGTGTGATACCAGCTAATGTGTGTGTGATACCAGCTAGTGTGTGTATGTGTGATACCAGCTAGTGTGTGTATGTGTGATGCTAGCTAGTGTGTGTGTGTGATACCAGCTAGTGTGTGTGTGTGTGATACCAGCTAGTGTGTGTGTGTGATACCAGCTAGTGTGTGTGTGTGTGATACTAGCTAGTGTGTGTGTGTGATGCCAGCTAGTGTGTGTGTGATACCAGCTAGTGTGTGTGTGTGTGTGATACCAGCTAGTGTGTGTGTGATACCAGCTAGTGTGTGTGTGTGTGATGCCAGCTAGTGTGTGTGTGATGCCAGCTAGTGTGTGTGTGTGTGACGCCAGTAGTGTGTGTGTGTGATACCAGCTAGTGTGTGTGTATGCGTGATGCCAGCTAGTGTGTGTGTGTGATACCAGCTAGTGTGTGTGTGATGCTAGCTAGTGTGTGTGTGTGTGTGTGATACCAGCTAGTGTGTGTGTGTGTGTGATACCAGCTAGTGTGTGTGTGTGTGATGCCAGCTAGTGTGTGTATGCGTGATGCCAGCTAGTGTGTGTGTGTGATACCAGCTAGTGTGTGTGTGTGTGATACCAGCTAGTGTGTGTATGCGTGATGCCA